AAAAAAAAAAAAAAAACAGCTGAGTTATTAAATCTCTTGTAAGGGAAATCTGCAAAAAATGAGATAGAAGAAGGCAAAAAATGAGGAGGGGATGTCCATTTTTTTTTGCAGATAGAAGAAGGGAAATCGTGGAGACAGAAGAAGGGCACATGGGTGGTGGGCTCCACTCTCTCTCTCTAACTGTAATTGTTTGTTTCTGAGGGCATAACGAGAAGTTAAGCAAAAAATTAACGGGGTTAACACGGAAACGAGGAGGGGGGAGCGTGCGCAATCAAAAGTATAATACAAGGGGGTATGACGCATTTTTTAAAATACAGGGGGATAAAGCGCATATTTCGTATAATACAGGGGGGTTTGGCGCAATTTACCCCTTTATATAATATAATAGATATATACTTATGTGATAAAACACAAATGTTTGGGGATCATGGCCCCCCCTATAGCATATGTCCCTCCGCCCCTGCTATCAAGTATAAACATGAAATTCACTTAACATTTTGATGGAGACGAGATCGCGATTGCGTTTATGGACAAATACGATCGAATTCCGACGTTAAAATAATTAATTATTCGCATAGTATTTATTCCTAATATTTCTTATTTATCTTTTATTCCTAATATTCCTTATTTATCTTTTTATTGTTAGGATGATGTCTATCTTTTAATATTAAAACTTGGTCAGTAAGTTAAGAGTTTAGGAGGGCTGGAGTCTATTTATGTAGACTGATGGGAACGGCAGTTGAAGAATAATAAGAATTTTATCTGCTTGAAATTTATCTCTTGTTCTTGTTCCTTTCGTTTGCGCTACATCAGTTGGTATCACGAGACCAGGCACGATCCAAGATGCCTCCAAAGAAAAACACTGTCGATGAGCAACGGGATGCGACGATTGAGGCACTTTTCCACAGGTGCGATACATCCGACCGTCTCATGGAAGCGTTAACAGGGAGGATCGAGGAACTAGCATTGGCCATCAATACTAACAATCACGGCAATCAGACGAACCGTGGCCGCGGCGGACGGCACGGGGGAGCACGCGGTGGTTGTGGCCGGGGAGAACGCGGGGCGCCCCGCACTCGGTCTCCTCCTCCGTGGGACGAAAACGTTGAAGACGACGACGACACCGTCTCCGACGTGAACCCCTTTGGGCATCCCGACCGAGAGGATGGTGTTCCAGACGATGTGAGGCGCTGGAAATCTTCATTTCGCGTGGATATTTCGGAATTTAACGGCAGCCTTGAGGCGTCGGAATTTCTGGATTGGATGGCCGCTGTCGAGTCCGCTCTCGACTTCAAGGAGGTTCCTGCAAACTGGCAAGTGGAACTAGTCGCGACTCGTTTTCGCGATAGGGCAGCCGCGTGGTGGCAACAACTCAAGGCCACGAGACACAGACTGGGAAAAGCCAAAATCACATCCTGGGGCAAGTTCAGAAAACATCATCGATCGTGAGTTCCTTCCTTACATCTATATATATGCGTACTCTTTTTATACAATTTCAAAACCTGAAGCAGGGGCAACGTTATGTTAATGAGTATACCGAGCAATTCTATCGGCTTATCACACGGTTGGATGTTTGGGAGACAACAGATCAACTCGTCTCCCGTTATATTTGGAGGACGTCGATTACCGATCCAGGTCACGCTTATCTTGTTCTCTCCGGGTTCTACTTCTGACGCCCATCAACATGCTGTTTTGGTAGAACAACAACTCGAGCGACGATCGTCTTCTTCTTTGCTTCCAACGGCCAGGACGGGTGGTCATGGTGCAGCGATGGTGCCGGCAGGGCAGTCTACGATGATTGGGCCAGGTGGCAGCGCGGGAGCTGGTACATCCGGCACAGGGCGCACAGCGGCAACGGGTTTTGGCCCTCCTAGTGTTGCGACAGGTTCTCAGCAGAACACACGAGTGTCGGGCGAGCTCCGATGTTTTGCATGTGGGGAGGTAGGCCACCAGCAGTCGGCGTGTCCTCGACTCGACGGTGGTCGAGCTTTATTTGCTGATGACATGAATGATCAGGGCGAGCCTCCGTTATACGACGCCCCTCCGGTTTTTTACAAAGAGCCCGAACCGGTTGAAGAACACATATACGGAGATGTTGGTCGTGCTTTGGTTCTTCGCCGTTCTAATATATCCCCTCAGGTCTCGTTGGAGGACCCTCTCACTACACCTCTTCCTTGTGCCGTGGCAACCTCGGACGTCGCCCGTGCGAGTGCTCGTGCGAGTGCTCTCGAGCAATATGTTCGTTCTCCGAAGGATCTCGAGGTTCCTTTGCATGGGAAGAATGCCTACATTATGGAAACACATGATGGTGTGACAACTCAAGTAAATGGTGATGCTGCTACAAATATTACTGCATCATTTGCTGGGAGAATGCTTGTAGTTCAAAAACTGAGTAATTGTGGTTTGTGTGGGTTTGATGACTACAGTAAGTATGAGGTATCCAAATTATGGATGGCTGGGCATATTGTGGGTGACAAAAATTTAGATCTGGTGGGTTGTGGACATTCACGGGCTTTTGGTGTTGGTTCCAAATGCTTTAGTGGTGACCCTATTATGCATGCTTTTGATGGGAATTTATCTGTTGCCAATGGTATTGAGTTTGAGGTCGGTGATTACGTATGGGCGGTCTTACCGGTGGACAACTTTTCGGCTTGTGCATATACCAAGTTGTCGGTTCGTAAAATGGGCTCGGTTGCGATTGTGGAAAAGTTCAATCCCCATGTGTACCGCCTTCGTCTACCATCTTACATCCGCACGTCTGACGTGTTCAACGTCGCACATTTGATACCGTATCTAGGTGACACCTCAGACGGAGACGAGATCGAAACGGATTCGAGGGCGAATCCTCCTCAACCGGGGGAGGATGATGGAGACGAGATCGCGATTGCTTTTATGGATAAATACGATCGAATTCCGGCGTTAAAATAATTAATTATTCGCATAGTATTTATTCTTAATATTTCTTATTTATCTTTTATTCCTAATATTCCTTATTTATCTTTTTATTGTTAGGATGATTTATATCTTTTAGTATTAAAACTTGGTCAGTAAGTTAAGAGTTTAGGAGGGCTGGAGTCTATTTATGTTGTGTAAACTGATGGGAACGGCAGTTGAAGATTAATAAGAATTTTATCTGCTTGAGATTTATCTCTTGTTCTTGTTCCTTTCGTTTGCGCTACGTCGCATTTATAATCTAGCTTATCAGTTATGTTTTTCAAATAAAGCATTAATAACCGAATAAGTTAACTTATAACTTATTTGGTTAACATATAAGCTTCCTGTATTCAAATAATCTTCGTTTGGTAGAATGAACATTTAAAAAAAAAAAAGATCAAAATAATCTCATATACTTTTTTAAGTATCTTTTCAAATAAGTTCATTGAAATTTTTATTTCAGCTAGTTTATCTGTTAATTTTATCAAATATTTGAATCATATAAACTAATTTTTCAACCATATGTCATGACTATGTTTAATAAAACTAGTTGATAAGCTATAGACTAACTTATATAAATTACGACTTATATACCTTGTAGGTTATGACTTATAGCTGGACCATATATATTGTTTTTCCATGGGTGGGCGCGACTTTGACCTCGTGTAAAGGAATTTCAATACCCCATGTTTTTCCAATTCTTCGTCCTGCTTTATGTCCCACTCTCAATTTGTAGCTAGTCATGTTGGAATGTATCTACTTACGTCAACGTGTAATCAATTATAAATCTCCACATAGGGCTGAATTTCGAAGTAAAAATAGTACTTTAATTCTATAAAAAAAAAAATAAAAATATATATATATATATAAAAAATTCAATACGAAAAAGAAGGAATCGAAGCTGAAGCAAAATTTTCCTACCCTAAAAATAATCGAATCGAACGACATCAAATTATACAGGCTGAATTAGCATCGTTATTGCTCATTTGTTAATTTCATACAAGTTAAAAGAACAGAATGTAATGTATATCAAAGTAATATTCAAAAATTATATAATAGGAGCTCTGAGCTTTGGGCTCGAGACTTTATCGAGCTGAACTTTTAACTAAAATGAGCCCTATAATAACTAAGTTTGTTCATCAATATTAACGACTAAATGTTGATTCTAACGGGTCGAACCCGAGTTCATATTTCTGAACCTTAACGAGTCGACTCGACAAACTCACGAGCAGCTCGTTTCGCTAACCTTTCAAAGTAATATAAATTAGTTGTATTTTGATTAAACATATAATATGGTAGGTACCAATCATGTTTACTGATCACTTACAATTATTCCACCATGTGGGTTTTATTTTAATTCATTCCAAGTATTAATAAACTTGATTTGTTTGACTGACATATTAGTAAATATAAGACTGCAATCATATGGCAATACCAATTTTCCTTCTTACCTTCCTCCAACTTGTGAGGGACTTCTGCCTATAAAAATCTTCCTCCTAAGGACCTCTGATCAAAATATTACATTAAAAAAAAA